ATGTACTTCTTCCTCAGTAATCTGTCCTTTATAGACCTCTGCTATGTCACCTCCACAGTCCCTAAACTGCTCTTCAGTTTCTTCCGAGAAAAGCAAACCATCAGCGTTGTGGGCTGTGCAGTTCAATATTTCTTCTTTTCAATGTTGGCGACAAGTGAATCTTGCCTCATGACAGCCATGGCCTATGACAGGTATGCTGCCATTTGTAACCCACTGCTCTATGCATCCATCATGTCACCCACCCTCTGTGTTTGGATGGTGATGGGAAGCTATTCAGCAGGTCTCATGGGTTCTTTATGTCAGATTTGTGCCTTGCTGCAGCTCCACTTCTGTGGACCTAATGTCATCAGGCACTTCTTCTGTGATGTATCCCATCTTGTACATCTATCCTGCACACACACTTTCTTTGTGGATGTCTTACTCATAATATTAACAACAATCTTTGGGATTATGAATGCCTTAGTTATCATGATATCGTATTCACATCATTGTGCTTCTCACCTGACAGCTGTTTCTCTCTTCTATGGTTCTGGTGTCTTTGCCTATCTGAGTTCCAGCTCTGGGGTTTCCTCCAGCTTTGACAGATTCGTTTCCATAATCTATACTGCAGTGATTCCCATGTTGAACCCCTTGATTTACAGTCTGAGGAACAAGGAAATCAAAGATGCCATGAAGAGGTTTCAGAAGAAGAAAGGCAATGGCTAAAGTCACAGATACTGAGATTTTTTTTTTTTTTTTTACATTTTTGTTGTGTTAGAATCACCGTTATCTACAATAAAGTGACTTGTTCAGAACACTATAAAATTCATGAGGCTTTGGATGAATTAAGAAATCTTAATCTGAAATACTCAATAGTCCAATATAAATCAATAGCCAACCACATGTGCATAAACACATTCTGTTTTCACCATGGATCATATGGCTTTAAGTTGATGACAAAAATCTACTTAGAGTTTATAGGAGGGTGTTTCCACAAAAACACATAGATCCACCTTTTAATTAGCTTACATGCACTTAGGAAATAATGATCAGAAGTTGCTGATAATAATTGGAAGTAGTGTTCAGATGCCTTGTTTGATGCATGAGGTCCCTGGGAGCTGCTATGCTCTTAGAAGTGACTGCAGGTTTGTACTTATCCCCAGGCAAGTCCTTCTGCTCATTGGGAGACGAAACAATCCTGAGCTAAACTGCCCAGCCTACATCATGGAATGTTACCGAACACCCTAACAGCCTTTTATAAAAGACATCTGACTTCCCATGCTCACTGCTGTTTCCCTGCTCCCCAAGAGGCAGCCTAGTGGTCTGTTTGCTCTCAAACAACTGTCCCCCCATGGAGTTGACTAGTCACTGGTTTTCACTGCTCTTCTTCCATACTGTATACATTATTTTTCATATGCTAAATGAAGGGGGTGGATTTGCAGTCTAGGTCCTCTCCTAACAAGTGTCAGTTGGTTTTAGAACAGAAAGGGACTGTAGGTAGTTTAAGGCATCTGAAGAGCTCTATGCATAAAGGCCATCAGTAGTCTACACATAGAGCCATCTGAAATTAGATCTCTAGACCTATCAAAGCAATCTGTGGAAGCTGCATGCCAAGAGGCAGAAAAACCACTGAGATTCTCCCAAGTTTCACAGAGCTAAAAGGAAGCAGGTGAAGTGTATTTGGGAATTATTTCCACAATGCCACATCCTCAGATATACTGGCATAGTGTCACCTGCATAGACAGATATCAAGAGGAGTTCACCCTCAGAGCCAAACACATTCAGATATTTGCCGTGAACTGAGCAGTTAAACATGGTGCCTGTCACCTTGGAACTACAGAGATGAGGATGATTCATTCCCTTGGTAACAACAGTGAGGTTGGCAGATAGGTCTGCAGATAGGGACCCATGCCCCACTTGGCAAATGACCATCTCTGTGAATCTTTATCTTCTGATATGTAAAGTACAGGGATATTATGAAAGTGCATATAATACCTCCAAACATACTCCTGCCATGATAGATGCATTTAAAATACTTATTTTTATTGATCTGTAACTTAAAAATATTTTTATTGAGTTTTTGTGCATTTAATGCAATAGTTATTGGTTAAATTTAGACTTCTCCCACCATCCATGCTCCCCCACCCCCTGCCCACTGGTGGGCATTCTCTCATATATGTTAAGTCCTATTTGCATGAGCATTTGTATGCAGTTATCCTTTAGTCAAGATCATCCACTAGAGCCTTTTCAGCTTACCTAGTGTTCTTAAAAAAGATATACTCTCTCTCACCCATTGGAAATCAGTTGCCAATAGTTCCTAGGTTACCTTGGGCCTGCTGCCTATTTCCCTCATTCTATCCTGGGTTTTCAGATGATTGAGTAAGCATGGTTCTTATGCGTGCTATCCATTATTGCAAGTTCATATGAGTAAGTTTTCAGTGGCCTGAAAGCCTCTGTTTTGTAATATTCATGCACAAACCCCGACTCATTCTGCTCCCTCTTCTGCAAAGGTCCCTGAACTATGGGTGGGTAAGGTTTAATATAGGAGTCCTAGTCAGGGGCATGCAGTCTGAAGTATCTTATTCTCTAAAACTTACCCAGTTGTGGCTTTCTGTTTGCATCACACTCTGTTGTATGAGGAAAATTTGCTGGTGAGAGTTGAGGAATCTATTAGTATTCTCTGTACCCACTGCTCTTTCATGTTCGATGAGTACTAGGTGTAGAGGCTCCACTCTAGATATAATACTTTGGGCTGGACATCTCTCAGACATATATTCTCTATGTGTGACTCTGTGACCAGTTGTGGAAGTTAGTAATTAAGCCTCCATCTGTTGCAAAATGAAGATCCCTTGATTAACGATGTACAGTATACTTGTCTGTCAATATAAGGATCCATATTTAGCATATAAGACATTTCATTTGTCTAGAGATATGACAAAGATAGGGCTTTCTCTAAGAGGTATGCCTTCTCCAGTCATGTGTATTTGGTGATATTTACAGTGCCACCCATGAGTTCTCTTCCATTAAGAGAGCTTTAAGTCCAATTAGATAGCTGTTGATTACCCTCTAGATAGCAGTTCCACTACTGTGCCAATTGAGGTAGATTGCTATGCCAGCTGTGGCAATAAGGACTGTGGCAATAGCCTGTGTTACTTTGGGAGTCTTTGGACTACTTTCACCAGCAACTCAAAGAAGGTTTCTACTCCCTGGCACTGTGTTCCTTGTTATATAGCCTTCACCTATACACATTTACTAATGTTTGGATATTGTGTGTGTATTTTTCAGGATATTTTTGAGATAATATTTCCCTCTGACTTTTTACTTCTCCTGAACTTTATCTTTCCTCTCTCTCTCCCCCTCTAACCTCCCTCCCCAGTTTAAGTGCCCCCAATTTCCCCTTGATAATATCCTCCCTCTCTTGAGTTCCTTCTTACTCCCATGCTCTGTAT